ACAGAGGAGTGGTGGAGTTAGCCTGTATAAGAACATAAAGCACATAATCTTACGGGTCTGTTTATATTAAACAGACTGCAAAGTGGACATGGTCTTGGAATGAATATTTTCACTTCCAAGAGGTCCCCTAGGCTCCCTGTCTCTTGGAAACTTGGAGAGGTAAAGTAGTAGATGTTGGGGGCTGGGCCACATGAGAAGCTCAGCTGATCTCCTCATAGTAACTCAGAGGGTTTCTCTGGGAGGCTATGGGGCTACAGTTCTTAGAAGTCATCCACTGCTGAGAATCCACTGATGAACATTAACTGAGTACCTACTGTATATGTCCCAGGGACTGGACCAGACACTGAGGATTCAAATAAAGCCCTGTTCTTGAGAGAATGGCTTTGCTATCCTAGTAATTCTTTCCAAGAAGCCCCTTAGGACCTCTGCTTTAGTCACCACATAGCTAATATTTAGTGATCAGGGACGGACTGAGTTAAACTAAAGAAAAGGTTTGCAATACAGAATATTTTCTTTTAAATTAAAAAAAAAAAAAATGCATTGTTCACATCCTGGCCTCATATATGCCCTGCTTTTGTAAATGGAAGGAGAGTCCGTGTTGGTACACCTGATCACCTACCTGCTCATGAATGCTCCCAAATAGCGCTCAAGAATGCTGTTTATGCTATGGCTTGGCTTAACAAATAAATAGCTGACACTGCCTTTGAGCTGACCATAAGAAATTGGACTTTCAAATCAGTACAAAAATTAAGGGGGTTGAAAAACAAAGTGGGTAATAAGAATGCCAAGAGTAACTCCAAAAGCCCCATTCATTCTGTTGTTTTCTTGTTGTTATTATTAAAGAAGTGGTCTTCTGTAATGAGTTAGAATGAACTTGCCAGATCTTCAGTGACCCTGAAATTGAGAATACAAGGGTAAACCCATTCCCAGATAGTTTGCTTTGCAACAAGTGACCACATAACCCAGTGGCTAGAAACACTGCAGAGCTATAAACAGAGCTGTACACATCCCAGTCCTTTCTTTAAGCCTGCACGAGTTGTCAGTGTAATTATTCTGGTTTCAGCCCCGACTCAGGGCAATCCCACACCAGAACATAACCCTGTCCAGTCCTGCCTCATCCTCATGATCTGTTATAGATGGGACATTGTGATCCCTAAGGTTTTCATTTCAGAAGTCAAACACCGAATCTCTCTTCCTATCTTCCTAGTTTATCTTAGTCTGGGAGCTTTGTTGAAATCTGTTCAGCATCTTTATTGAAATCAGTTCAACATCCTAGCAACTCGCAAACCCCCACTGACAGACAGATGTGGTTGTGCATGAGGTACATTGGCGAGGAATCAAACCTGGGTCTCTGGGGTCTCCCACTTGGAAGGCACCAATTCTACCACTGAGCCATCAATGCCCTCCCACCTCCAACGTAATTAAAAGCCTTTTAAAATTGAATTCACGATGCAATCAGCAGCAAATTGCCAGAATTTAGAGGTTGCTTCAGGATTCAATTAAGGAGAGGCTAAGAAGGGTGGGTCACTAAATCGGAAACTACTCAACAGCACTTAACAAGAAATCAGGTGAGCATCTGGAGTTCTCAATAGGTGAGAGTTGTTAGGTGCCATAAAGTCAGTTCTGACTCATAGCAATTCTGTAGTGTTTCCAAGGAATGGCTGGTGAGTTTGAACTGTTGACCTTGTGGTACAAGTCGACCTTGCAGTCCAGTGCTTATCTTACAGAGCCTGAAAATGGGCAATTGCCATTCTGTGTGACATTTCTGTCTTGCAATAGGGCTACATATGTAAAGTGAAGGGGTGTTTTAATGGCTTCCGCTGCCATGTGTGCATATATCTAAATTTACATGTCACAGCCTGATGCATATTCATGTCTACAAATCACACTGGAAAGAAAACTAATGATGTCAAATTCGGCTGACATTAAACTGGGAAATTTTGTAAAAGATTTTAGAACCTTCTTGGCATCTGTGCATAGTCTATGCATAATACATTTTCTTTCCACTGAGTGTATTTGATAATCTTCTTTGGGGGGGAAAAGGGAGTCGATGAGGCAGATACTTTTTCTTCTTTTCAGACCAAAACTCAGTTCTAGATTTTGCTATTCCTTCCTCAAGTGATTGTTTTAAATATCTATAAGAACACAAACTCTCGGTTGGTGGTATTTTTGCCCTTTCTCTCCTCCATTTTATCCTGTTCCTTTATGGTTTGTGATAGAATGGATTGCCATGGTACCAACACTGGCTCATAATTATTTCTCTCCCTTTTAGCCACAAGGTGTAAATTTGCTAACTGTGAAGGCGGGCTCTGACAGTTAATCTCAATGGATGTAGAAAGGCTGTGCGGTCTGCACTAGATAATTTCCCTGAGGGGTTGTTCTGTAGAATGAGGGGCCATTGATTGCGCTGTCTGATGTGGAAAGGAGAGAAAATAAAAGGACCTTCCAGAGAGACGTAGGATCCCACAGTGCCTTACAGAGCAGGAAAGGAAATCAAAGGACAATTTTGAGCCCATTCCAGTTCTCTAGTCATATTTTTTTATGAACTGGGGCTTCAGGAAGGAGCCCTGATGGCACAGTGGGTTAAACACTGGACTGCTAACCAAAAGGTCGGCGACAGTTAGAACCCAGCAGCTACTGCCTGGAAAAGATGTAGCCATCTGCCTCTGTAACAATTGTCAGCCTCAGAAACTTGATGGGGCAATTCTATTGTGTCTTAAAGGGTCGCTGTGAGTCACAATCAACGTGTTGGCAGTGGTTTGGTTTGGGTTTTTGTTAGGACTCTCCGTCAGGGTCCAAGGCATACAAGTCCTTCAAGAACCTTGAAAAAGGTTTGAAAACAGAAGAAAACCTATACTTTAGTATTGACTCAATAAATGAACCTTGCTGGCACAATGGTTAAGCATTCAGCTGCTAACCGAAAGGTCAATGGATTCAAACCCATAAACTGCTCCATGGGAGAAAGATGTAGTAGTCAGTTTCTATAAAGATTACAGACTAATGGAGTCCTGCTGTGGCGCTGTGGCTAATGCACTGGACTGCAAAGTTGGTTGAAACCATAAGGTCGCCAGTTCAAGCTCATCAGCTGCTCCTTGGAAACTCTATACAGAATTGCTATAGGTTGGAACTGACTCAACGGCACTTAACAACAACAACAAACCTTATAAGAGGTTCTAGTCTATCCTATAGGGTTGCTATGAGTCGGAATCAACTCAACGACACCCAACAATATTGACTCCAAATAGAAATTAAAAAGGAACCAATTGGCCTCAAGTCAATTCCAACTCATGGTGATGCCAGGTATGGCAGAGGAGAATTGTACTCCATAGGATGCTGTGCATATATTTGGGGTAATTGATCTCACACATGAATCCCAGTGTTTTCAATAGCTGGTGTTTCAGAAATAAATTGTCAAGCCTTTCTTCTGAGGTGCCCCTAGGTAGGCTCAGACCTCCAACCTTGTACCTGTCAGCCTAGCACATTAATCTTATGAGCCACCCAGGGACTCTAAAAAGCTATCTGTAAAAATAAAAAATATGAAATGTTTAGCTGAACAGCTGCAAAATATTTAACGTAAGCTTCATTAAGCATTAATTTTTGTATTTTAAAAAATTCTTTTACATGTGAAAACAAAGTGTGGATTCAGTTTCTCACTTTCTGAAATTTCTGAGACTACATAGTAGTTGTAGAGAAGCCAGTCCCAGCCAATCGCAGCCAGATCATTTCAAATGCAAGATTATAAGAATCCTTTTCATTTTGTGATTTAAGCCATCCTATTTAATGTGATGTGGTATGCTGCAACATCAGCAGTTCAAACCTACCAGAAACCCTAGACAGGATTTCTAGGAGTCGGAACCAACTTGACAACACGCAACAACAGCAACAACACATTTAATGTGGGCGGCAGAGCATTTGAATGCCTTTTATATGATGTATGAAAGAGCGCCTAGAGCTAAATGAAGATTTTTAAACAGTTCTGCCCCCCGTGTACTTTTCTTCTCCATGTTGGTATTTATTCCTGAAGATGCTGGTCTGTTTAGTGTCTGAGGGAAATGACCAGGCACCAAGATGGGAAGGAAGATTCCAACTTATTCTTGATATATGCAACTGTCTGAACACAAGAATGTGCACACAGGAAATAAACTTACCACCAACTCATCTAGTCATGCTTGGAGCTGGCTCCAGTTTAGAAGCCAAACCATCCAGTTGGGTCGTGTTAGTAGAATCCCCATGTTCCCTTATGTGAGTTGTGTTCTCTCCCAACAGATGGTTTGGGCTTTCATGGGCCCTGTGATCTAGTCAACTTTTCTCCTGACAGGGATTTCCATTCCGTCTCAGGTGGTGAGGGCAGGAGACAAGTTGGGTCATCTGAATTTCCTTTTAGTTTACATTAAGGTCCAACATCTTCAGGCTTTATTTTATTCACCACCCATGAAGCTATGAATGCTGAATCATTCCAAAAGACATGGAAAATTGTACTTCCTTACAATCCCATTCCCAACAGTATCCACAATAAGAGTTTGGTGTAATTCTTACAGACTTTTTGTTTTTCCAAATACTAAAGTATCATCACTTTGTTTTCATTTATAAAATGAGATCATAAAAAATAAAGTTTTTAAGTACCTTTTTCCCACTTAACAATACATCTTAGATATTTTTCCATGCCAGTACAGTACATGTGGAATTACCTCATTTTTGTTAATGGCCATATGCTATTCCATTATGAGTGTGCCATCATTTGTTTAACTGCCTTCTGTTGCTGAGCATTTAGGTTGGCCATTCAAGTGTGACCTTTCGGGAGAATATATCACATGTCTAAATAAAGTCATTATATGTTGGCTAGGAATATATGCCCTTGGTCCTCATGCCTGCTTATCCCCTTCAGGAACAGACACAAGTAAATTGTTCTCTCTGCTGATGCTTGTTTTAACTGCAAAAACCTATATGTGATTCACTGTTTATTTCTTTGTTTTTTGTTTTTGCCTTTTCTTCCTATGCAGTCATCTACAACCAGGGACAAGGATGAGCAGGCGCTCCCGGTAGGAAGCAGTAGCTCTGTCTGTCCCTGTTCATGTGCCTGTGGAGAGGAGAGGGGAGGGGGAAGAAGAGGGATCATGTGCTCAACAAATCATCCTCTCCCTTGGAATATTTAAATGGTTTCACCTGCTGGTGTGTAGATATTCTCTGTCCTACAATCAGTAATGATTGAATTCTGAGGTTTGCTGACAAATTATTTCTGGGACTAGGTTTCCAAAAATTCGAATTCTCCCTTCAATTTGACATGAACTTTTAGAGGAATTTAAAGAATGTGATAGTTCCAAATTGCATTCCAAGGGATGCTGTGCTGATATTGGGGGCCATCGTGGGACCTAACGCATGATACCTGTTTTCTCCATGTATCTGCATGTACAGACTGGTTGGTTAGAAATTTCTTTTGGTTATCAAAAGAAATACTGCATGAGACCAATACATCCAGTATATATATATATATATATAATGTTCATAAGAAGGTTTTAAGTTCTTCTGTAGATCGAACCCTATTCTAATAAAGATCTTCACATCAGAGTTCTTCCAGTTTTCCAGAATAAGGACCATAGTAACAGTGATTATGACAAATTATTAGCAACTAACACTTTATCCGGTTCCTACCCAATTAACACATATTTTATATTATGCAGCATAGCAAGGAAATGGCTTTCAGATTTCTTGTTTTCAGTGATCAAATTACAATGACCCTTAGTTCTATTCAAGGTGCTGTAGCCTCTGGACTGTAAACCACAAGTCGGCAGTTCAAACCCATCAACTGCTCTTCAGAAACCCTATACAGGGTTATTATGAATTGGAACCAATTTGATTGCACTTAACAACAACAACTTTACCCTTAAAATCATTTGGACCCTAATCATCTGAATCCTCTTACAACCAAGTAACACAGTGGTTTCAAATTTTAGAAAACTTTAAGTCTCAAAGGACTGGTAATAAGGAAGACATAGACCCTTTACTTTTTCCTGTAATGCTCAATAGAAGGACTCATGACATTCACGAGAACAAGGACAATATGCCAGGTTCAGAATCAGGCTGGAGGTACAGACTCATCTCTTACTTTAAGGAGCTCCTAATCTGGTTAACCAATGAAACACCATTAATCTCTGAGTCCTCTCTGTTCACTTTTGCACTGGGGACATGATTTCTAACAAACTAACAACTGTAACAAAATCATACTAAGAAAGTCAGGTTTCTTCATGTACTTTATAATGAGATTTTACTCAACCTTTAAGCTCATTATGGGTTTTATGTTTGTCTCTAAACAGGTGAGCAATAATTATTAATCAGTGCTCTAAAAATTAAGGGATCCTGGTAGCATACTGGTTACGAATCGGGCTGCGAACCACAAGGTCAACAGTTCGAAACTACCAGCTGTTCCACAGCAGAAAGATGAGGCTTTCTGCTCCCATAAAGATTTACAGCCTCGGAAACCCTGTTCAGGGTCGCTATGAGTCAGAACCGACTCCACAGCACATAACAACAACATAGGCAAAAGTGGAGTCCTGGTGTGGTGCTGTAGGATCAGCACTGGATTGCTAACCACAAGGTCAGCAGTTCAAACCCACCAGCTGCTCCTTGGAAGCCCTATACCGGACGACTATAAATCAGAACTAACTTGATGGCATTTAACAGCAACAGCAGACAAAAGTTTGGAAACATTGCCCAACTTAACCAGAGTTTCTTAAAGTAGGACTCAGTGGTCTAATATGTATGCTAACTCTCAAGAGGTGGTTTGGTATAGGATATATAGCCCTTCACAAATGCATTTGACCATGGAGACTTTTCTTGGAAACAGTCTTATAAGACTGGAGCATGAGAGAATATATTAGAAACACCACAAATGTAGAGAGTTGGAAGACTTAGTGGAAAAGAGAGTATTTTATTTTTACCTAATCCCAGATTTGCAGATGATACAACTTTGCTTGCTGAAAGTGAAGACTTAAAATACTTTAAAAATCTGATGAAGAAGATCAAAGACCACAGCCTTCAGTATGGATTGTGTCTCAATGTAAAGAAAACAAAAATCCTCACCACAGGACCAATAAACAACATTCTTATCAACAGGGAAAAGATTGAAGTTGTCAAGGACTTCATTCTTCTTGGATCAACCATCAACACTCATGGAAGCAGCAATCAAGAAATCAAATGACATATTACATTAGGCAAATTTGCTGCACAAGACCTTCTTAAAGTGTTGAAAACCAAAGATGTCAGCTTGAGGACTAAGGTGCACCTGACCCAAGCCATGGTATTTTCAATAACATCATATGCATGCGAAAGCTGTACAGTGACTAAGGAAGACCATAGAAGAATTGATGCCTTTGAGTTATGGTGTTGGAGGAGAATACTGAAAGTGCCATGGGCTGCCAAAAGAACAAACAGATCTGTGTTGGAAGTACAGCCAGAGCACTCCTTGGGGCCAGAATGGCCAAACTTCGTCTCTCATACTTCAGACATACTGTCAGGAGGGACCATTCACTGGAGAAGGATATCATGTTTGGTAGGGTGGAGGGTCAGAGAAAAAGAGGAAGATCCCCAATGAGATGGATTGGCAAACTGGCAGCATCAGTGCCCCAGGACTAGGCAGTATTTTGTTCTGTTGTACAGAGGGTCACTTTGAGTTGGTGCTGAATCGATGGCACCTAACAGCAACAACAACCCCAGAAAAATGTCATGTCAAGATTTCCTTTAAACAACTCAATAAGAAATCAGTTCCCTTACATGACATTACATCCTTCTCTCCCAAATCCGTCCATCTAAGAAGCATGACTGCCTTTGAAGTGATGAACAGAGAAAACAGCAAAGTCAGCCAAACAAGGAAAAGACATTCCTATTCAGGGTTTGTTTTGTTGTTGTTATTTTTTTCAGACAGTTTTTGAAAATAAAAGAAAAAGAATTTGTTGGCAACCACATTTCTAGAAGTTAATTCTTCCTCTTTCACCTGTGGGTTTCATCATGGGGGCCAAAGGATGACACCTTGTAAGAATTTATACAAAAGGAGCCCTCACCTGATGGGCCTTCCATGGGCTGGCCCATGAGATGAGGTTCTGCCTCTTCAAATCCCACTTCCCAGACCATAGGACTTCTGGGCTCGAACTGTAGTCCATAGGGTGGGGATGAGGCACAAGATGATCCTTTGGGGAGCTAGAAGAGATTGTTGTTGTTGTTAAATGTCATTTAGTCAGTGCAAACTCATAGTGACCCTGTATAGGGTTTCCAAGGAGTGGCTGGTGGGTTTGAACTTCTGACCTTGTAGTTAGCAGTCCAGTGCTTATCCTGCAGTGCCACACCAAGAGTCCTAAGAAAATATTAGCAGCTATATAATTTACTCTCTATATCATTCTTCTTAATTTCTATTTTTGTAAATGTTTTATATTAGGTGCTCATATTAGTATATACCTAATTCACAAGTTTTAGAGACCACCCACAAGTTTAGATAACAGCCTTTGAGTGAAGTAGACCTGAGGACCATTTCCTTTTCCACCACTTTGTGCCTCATCACTTCACTTCTCTGAGTCTAAGTTTTCACAGTTTTCTAAAGGGAATAGTAACAGTACCTGATTTATACGATTCATGTTGAAAATAAGATAAACTAATGGATGATGTGAATCATATTGCATGTTGCCTGGCATTTACTAAGCTCTAAAAATTCACTTAATAAGAGACGATGGGAGATAAAATTCCTCCATGAGATTGGAAAAGTACTTTGAAAAAGCTGTGATTCTCTAGTGTGTGATCACATGACAAAAATGAGCACACACCAGACAAGGTCAGGAACTTATCTGGAATGGACTCTTCCCTCATTTCTGAGAGCTAACAGCGTCCATGTCTGGTTTCTCCACTCAGGCTAAGCCCCGTCTTCAACGAGGTGGAAGTTCTGCATCTCTCCACAACAGTCTCATGAGGAATAGCATCTTCCAGCTCATGATACACACCCTGGACCCACTCGCTGAAGGTAAAATTCAGGCTTGCATTTGGGAACTTGTTTGAAGGGAAATAATAACTCACAACTTTTTTTCCACAAAGCACGTGTTAATGCTTCATCACTCAAACCTGTCAATGCCCTCCTAGTTGGCATCTGTCCGAGGAAGGCCTGGGCCCCTGACATACTTTGTCTACAGTGGCTTAGTTCACCATCAGTGATTTTGGGACCAGGAACAGGATCTGAGGCCTGTGTGTACATTCTGTCTTTGATGCCTCCAGCACAAATGGAGTTTGTTATAAAGCAGAGAAGACAAAGGGGTCTCATCCCTTCCTGAGTTTCAAAATACAGTTGTGTAGGCAGCTGAATTGTGCACCTTAAAAAAGAGAAAAAGAGAGAATTCCATGACTTAAGAGGGCCAAGAGTAGTTAGTTTGGGGAAGAATGTTCACAGTCAAGCTTTGATATTGTATTGATTCTTTGGCAACTGGAGGATGGGGTGAACATCTAAGCATCTAAAGAGCCTTCCCTAAGATCATTGCTTAGAATTAGAAGCAGCATTCGAGTAATCATCTGAACCATCACAGAGCATCCAGAATTGTGTTCTTCCGATGTTATTCATTCACAGTGAAGCCAACCACATCATGTTTCTTCAATTGTATAACTACCTTTAAAAATTAATTTTTCAAACTTATGGCTGATGTTCCACTGGGGGATTAGGGATCTTTGAAGAGTATGTCCTGAGTAATAGACCTCTGCCTCCAAATGAACAGACAGGATCAGATTATCAAATATGCTCTGTAACTCAGCGTAATAAGCTTTACTAAATAATTTCAAGAGCACAGACAATCAATAGGCTCAGATTAAACAAAGAAACAGCTGTAACCCGAGGGTGGTCCCACAGAGTCCATCTTCCCTCATTGGACACATGCCTCATGCAGAATACCAGGTAAAGACCATGGGATCCCCTATCACAGAGAAACATTTCAATGATGAAACATCTCCATTTCATGCCCCCACAGAGTTGTATGGTGGGGGTGGGGTGGTGGTGTGCCGTGGAGTCAATCCTGACTCATAGCGACCCTGCATAGGGTTTCTGAGGCTATAAATCTTTACAGGAGCAGAAAGCCTCATCTTTCTCCTGTGAAACAGCTGTTAGTTTCAAACTGCTGACTTAAGGCTAGCAGCCCAACTCGTAATCACTACACTCCCAGACCTCCTTGGAAAATTTTATAGCTGATGTGATATTCTACAATGAGCTCTGCTTCATGCAGCACTATAGGATAAGCCCCAACTGCTAACCATAAGATTGGCGGTTCAAACCCACCTCTGAAGCCCTACACAGGGTCCCTATGAGTTGGAACCTATTCAAAAATACTTGACGACAACAACAATGCTTAGGCACAAACATCCTAAGTATCCTTATACTATTGATCTGGGACTGACTGCTGGTGTGGTGCTGTTGGATAAGCACTAGACTGCTAACCACAAGGCCGGTAGTTGAAACCTACCACCACTTCTTGGAAACCCTGTACAGGGCACTATGAGTCAGAACTGACTCGACGGCACGTAACAACAATAATTTATCTGAAAAAGATGAGGCTTTCTGCTCCCATACAGATAGATGCACAGCCTCAGAAACCCTAGATAGAATCGTTATGAGTCAGAATTGACTTCATGGAGGTGAAGTGAGTATTTATCCAGAAAGGAGCCCTAGTGGTACAGTGGATAAAGTGCTCAGCTGTGAACCAAAGGTCAGCAGTTCAACCCACCAGTCACTCTGCAGGTAAAAACTGTGGTAGTCTGCTTCTGTAAATATTGTTGCTGTTGTTAAGTCTCATCAGTTCAGTTCCTACCCATAGCGACCCTGTATAGAGTTTCCCAGGAGCAGCTGGTGGGCTTGAACTGCCGACCTTGTGGATCACAATGCAGTCCTGATCCTATAAATATTACAGCCTTAGAAACCCCATGGGGCAGTTGGTCTCTATCCTATAGGATTGCTATGAGTTGGTATTAACTTGACAGCAATGAGTTTGGTTTTATTTATCTGAAGATTCATAAGACAAGGAGATTAGACCGGGCCATCCATCTTCTTTACCCTGGGCACAACCCAGAGGATTCAAGATCAAAGGCCAGCCGCTTTGACTGTTGTGTGATTTGGGGCAAGTTGGGGTCTCTCTGTGGCGCTGTGGGTAAATACACTGGACTGAAAAGTAGGTTTGAACCACAAGACCAGCAATTCAAGCTCATCAGCT